ACCGGTTTAGCCAAGTTTCAAGATCAATCATACCATCACCGGAGAAAGTGCCGGGATCCCGGAGGTGCGGGAGTGTGATGTAGGTGGTGGCTTGGACTGATGAGGGCAGCATGGAGGAAGTACCAGCAGTCGAAACAGTCGAAAGGTCGCCGATGGCGCGACCACTGCGCGTCTTCACTGAGGCACGAGGGTCGTCCACCTTCACCAATAATGTTACGAGTAACTTCTTTAATAATCTATTTACGATGCACAGAACTCGACGAGCAAGATGGTGCCAGTCCAGCATCAAACGACAACTCACTTCATCCTCCTCTTCCATGCAGCCGTGTTTAGAGGCTGTTATGTATCAATATCTTCAAAACCTTTTATTATTAAACGATATATTTTCTTTTTGTGATCCTTAGCACTTTATGCAATGCCTAGAAAGTTTAAAAAATGCACTAGAAGGCTAGGTGATTATTTGGTGCTCAGCTGAATGTTCGCTGAGTACATAACATTTTTGCTTCACTTATTTGTTTTATATGTATATATATATATATATATATATATATATATATTGCAACCCTAAAATTCTAAATCAAACCTTTTTTGCTACCTTTTCATTTCACACATTACAGGGATGAACTTGTCACATCATAAAATTATGGAAAGTCAAACTAAAAAAGAAAGAATGTCACGACGACATACATTGTGTCTAAGAATCATGACAAAAATAATGGTCAAAATATGCCAAAAGGTTACAAAGAAACCAGCCGCGCAAACTCAGCAGGCTTGCAAAAAGACGGTTGATAAAATGACTCAAGAAGTTTTACCTTGCCTCTACTTATTTAAAATACACCAGGATTATGGTTCATGGTGTTCTTCATGACGTGGGGAGTTTTGGGAATTTTAGCTTGCTTTGGTGCGCTTTTGATGCTTTTTTTTTTCTGTATTTCTGCAGCTCTTTTACGGTGTACAGTATAACCTCGTTACAACGGATCCGCTTCCAACAGACGTACAGTTACTACATACTAATTTGGGGTGTTATGCCGGCCTCCCTATTTGTTTCATTGATTCGTTTGCAACAGATTATGGTATAATGAACATTCGGATATAATTGACTAAAATGTGAGCCCAGCAAGGTGATCAGGATTCCTTTACAGTAGACTTTCCTACCGCGGACATCCCAAATTCAATACCTTGTGGCTTCAAACATCGCTTAGCATACTTTTGGGACAGGAATTGATAAAACTAACCCTTGGTTTACTAAACATCTTCGAACATTACGAAATAAAAAGAAGCGTTTCTATGATACCGCAAAACGCATTGGCTCTGTGTCCTACTAGGATAAATACAAGGTCTGCTTACAAGACTATTGTAAAGCCTTAGACACAGCTAAGAAGAAATATTATTTGCAGGACTTGCCGTCACTTCTTAAAAATGACCCCAAAAAGTTCTGGCAAATAGTTTCACCCTACAACAAGTCTCCTAATCACATTACAATACATGATAGTGAACTAACGCCGCTTTCTGATGAAGCTTCCGCTATTGCTTTTAATGAGTACTTCGCGTCTGTTTTTACACAGGAAGATTGTTCCAATGTGCCATTTGTTCCATATCACCCTTTCGCTTTATTGGCCCCAATCATTGTCACTGCCGAAGGTATAGCCCAACTCATCACGAATCTTAAAGTTTCTACTTCATCAGGTATTGATAACATTAACTCTAAAATACTGAAGAACACCACAGATATTTCCAGCCGCTTCCTCTGTCTCCTATTTAACCAGTCGCTATCATCAGGCGAACTGCCCAAGGATTGGAAGATTGGTAAGGTGATTCCCGTATTTAAGTCCGGTGACAGGCACTCGCCCCGTAATTATCGACCCATTTCACTTACAAGCATCTCTTGCAAACTACTGGAACATATCGTGGCTTCCCATATTTACAATCACCTTGAATCGCACAACTTCTTCTCCCATCAGCATGGCTTTAGAAAAGGCTACTCATGTGACACCCAGTTATTCGAATTCACGACTGACCTTCACTATAATATGAACGCTAACGAACAAACTGATTGCCTCTTCCTTGAATTTGCCAAGACATTCGATACTGTCCCTCATTGTCGTTTAATGTGTAAATTGGCCGCACTCCGTATTGATTCATTAATCCTGTCTTGGCTACGAAGCTTCCTCTCTTCGCGTGAGCAACTTACGGTGATCAACGACATTTCATCTAACCTTTGCGACGTCACATCCAGTGTTCCCCAAAGCAGTGTAATAGGTCCGTTACTTTTTCTAATATACATTAATGATTTGCCCGATAACCTTTCATCCACAGTTAGGTTGTTCGCTGACGATTGCGCCATATACCGCAACATTAAATGTTTTAATGATCATTCCGCTCTCGAAAATGACCTTGACCTAACCTTCCGGTGGTGCGAAACTTGGCAGATGTCCCTTAACGCCTCTAAATGCAAGTTAATCTCGTTGACTCGAAAGCATAACAATTCAGCATTTCACTATAAGATTAATAACGCTGTTGTGTCAGCTACACCATCTTACAAATATTTAGACGTTCACCTTACATCGGATCTATCCTGGACAATCGCATATAGCAGTTGTCTCATCGAAAGCATCTCAATCTCTGGGATATTTCCGCAGAAACTTGTGCAACGCTCCTTCTAACATACGCGCATTATCATATATTACTTATGTTCGCCCACAGCTAGAGTATGCATCATCCACATGGTCACCATATCAAGATTACTTGGTACGTATGTTGGAAGCCATCCAGAATAGGGCAGCGAGATTCATCTTCGGAAACTATGACTATCATTCAAGTATTACCCTAATAAAACAAGACCTTGCATTTCAGTCACTAGAAATATGCTGCAACATTGCTCTTTTATGTCTGTTTCATAGGTACATTTATAGTAACGAAATTCAATGTTTGCCACTTTATTTTCCTGCGCGCACTTCCCAGCGCATTCACAATGCCCGTAATTTTGTGCGCATTCATGGTCACACGCAGGCATTTAACTTATCATCACTACCTCGAGCCATTGCATATAGGAACGGCCTTCCGGATCATGTTGTATCCATTTGTAACCCTGAAATTTTTCGTGACAACCTTGATTTCGTTGCACTCTAGTATTGTATAACGCTGTTGCACCTTGATTTTTGTAATCTTTTATATATGTATATATTTTTTCGTCTGCTTTTCTCCTTTATTGTTATTTCGTTTGTATACTGATACCCCCCTTACTCAATGCCCTTCAGTGGGCCTGTAAGGTATTTTGAATAAATAAATAAATAAATAGGGCCGCAGATATTGACATACCAATTCAAAAACGAAGGTCGCATATCTACAGTCTGTTAGTGATGAGTTATGCTTAGCTAGGGCACCGAAAAACTGGCGTGCAGCGTAATTGATTTTGCGTGCGGGGTCGCTGACCCGCGAAATGGCTGGCCGCTGCCACCGTTGTGCCGAGCTGTTGGTGTGGCGAGCTTGACTGGAATCCGCTACCGATACGTAAAATTAGCGGTTCTAAGGAGCCAGCGGCTGATATGATTTGTTGCTTGTGACGAAACACATTATGGCTTCTTCGCTTTCACATATTCGCCAGCGTGACGGTCTTGCCCGTCAAGTTCGGGGCAGATCGATTAGGACTAGACAAGAACTCGAGAAGAAGGGGCAGCTGCGATGTGCATGGCCGTGATGCCCGATGTTTCGAAGTACACCACGCTTGATTGCGAGTACAATAATCTGTCCCGCGGCGGTCTTCCTCACAAGGTTCGAAGCACTGATAAGCAGAACCTTCTTGTCAAGGAGTCGACGCTATGACAATCGGTTTAAGATACGAGCGAGCGATGTTCCCGACGAGTACAGCGCGCGATCGTAATCTGGAGACTAACTTCTGCTAGCACCTGTCTTAACAACCCGTGAACACAGAACGAGCGCGGAAGTGTCACTAAACAGTGCGATTTTAGACGTGACCTCGAGACGCAGAATAAGCAGATGACGTTATTTCGAAGGCGTATCCGAAACGAGCATCGGACTAGCGAAGCGTACTGGAGCAATACGAAAAAAATCAGACAATTCCAAATACTACAAATTAATTTTAAACATCTGCTTTTTGAACACGGAATGCTTTTAAGAAAATACTTTTACAGGGAGCCTAAAATGTTGGTGGGCACTTGTGCCATTGCAAAGCTATAAATTTTTAAAAAATGCCGTTTTTTTTTTGTTACTTCCATGATGATTTTCATCACCTCAGAAGGTGCAAAAAACTTTTTACAGCACTTTTACCCGTAACATTTTCCGGTTATAATAGACACATTTAGTGTTTTCACAAAAGTATGTTGCAACAGTACTTGGATTTTACATACTCCTTTACAACAGACCAAAATCCTCTTCACTACGGGGGTCTGATGTAATGAGATTATACTGCACTAGCCTTTCGGTCCTAACTTCCTTATTTATAGTTTGATATTGATGAAAATTGGCATAGAGGCTAAGAATGACCCCACAAAGCTTCCACAAAAACATTAAGGCAATAGCACAATATCTTCTTGCGAGACAAGATATTTCTTTACGTAATGATAAAATGAAGCAAGAAGATGATAAATATTATATGCACAGTCACATGCATGCTGAACCACTAAAATATGTAGTTTACGTTTTCTCCAGCGACACTGCAATCAGCTCACTAGCACAACAAGAAGTCCTAAAAAAATGCTTAAACGAGAAAAAAGACATATGAGAATGTAGCCCCCTGAACGAGATGAGCATAATGTAAATAAAAAACTGTATTGAAAAAAGTGCTTTTAAAGGTTTACTTTCTTTTTACTTCTATAAAGCAACAGAAAATTGTGACCTTTGATTTTGTCTTGTCATATTTGTCTTCTTGGACATCTGGTCCTCTTTCGTCAATCCTTCAAGCTAGAGCTCAGCAACAAAATGCCATAGCTATGGAGCTGCAATGGCAAGCAATGGCCACATGCAGATGGATATTTTCTTACCATGAGGGCCTTGAGGGCAATGTTGGCAGCTACGGAGAGGGCAGTACACACCTGAAAGGAGATAAAATAAAAAATGCAGTAACCCCTGATTAACGTTGAAGTCGTGAAATCCAGAAAAAATTTTCGAGATAAGCAGTATTTCAAGTTGAGCAAAACCACCGAAAATGTTCAGCCAGGTCAGCATAAAAAAAAAAGCCAGTGCTGCTAGCAAGAGCTCCACTACAAAGGAGAGCTGTCGGAATAAAGGCGAAAGAATCATCAGGAAAAAAATTCTATCGCTGCAGAAGGAAACACTGAGTGATGCTCCCCGCTTGGCGTTTGCATTTGGTCTGAGAAAGGTGTTCTGATGTTGCTCAACACATCACATGATGGTGCACGCTGTACAAGGCATTCCACTGTGCATGTGGCGTGCATGCGCACGAACGTGATCGTTCCGCCAGTTTGCTCGGCAAGCGGACCGGAAACCTCTGCGTCGGCGGAAGTTTGTAATTTGCCTTTCACCAATACACATATAGTAAGAGATATAAGACACATATAGAGATAAGACCAGTCGTTGCTTCCCACTCTCCCTGTCAAGATATCGAGATATCTGAGATCCCCTCTGAAAAATGTTTAGAGATAAAAGGGGGCAAAAACTTAGCACCTACAGGACGTTAATGCACCGTGAAAGATAGTATCGACTTGACCGAGATTTGAAGATATGCGAGTTCGAGTTAACAAGGCTTTACTGTAATTACATATCTAGCACACTGCCACACATGTAGACCTACCAACTTAAATCTGAAAAAAAAAAGTATATATATATATTAGGAATTCTTCATTATTGAAGTAGCCAGAAAAACCTAAGCATAAAGCTGAATTGGTAATGCGCAGTACATTGGCTGTGTCATCGACCTACGAGACATTATGCAAATCTTTGCAGTATGAGACACAGATGCATCTTCAGGCTAATGGGGCCCAAGTGTTGGTGATGGTATGAAAATGCACAAAGCATTTGAGCTAGCAAGCTTTTCCGCATATATGATGCAACAGTTATGGTAATAAGCTTCTGTTCAAAATGCTCCACGCTCAAATCCTGAAAAAAACATTTAATTTTTACAACAAGGTGACCCCACTAGTGTAGATGGTCAGCTTGAAATTGTTTTTATTGTGCTTTTCCCACATATCAAGGTTCCTAACACTAGGACCTTAATGTTGCAGTTGGAAAGTGAAGTAATAAAGTCTTGTGCAAGATGATGTTCATTACAAATACAAAATTGATTACTTTAGTTATCTTATCACACACTTGCCTCCTTCTCTGCTACAGAGAGACAAGTACGAAAATTTTTTTCTCCTCCATTTCTCCCTCAGGCTTTCAGGCCACCCATTAACAGAAACACATTTATTCTAGACTTTAGTCCTTTATAAAATCTTAATAAAATTAATTAAAACATTGTGCAGTCAAATCTCATTCTAGCAAACCTCAGTGTATCGATTTTTTCCGACTAACACAATTTTTGAATATCCCCCTCCAAATATCGTTTGGTTTAATGTGAAAATATTTCACTACTACGAATTTCAGAATACCGAATGTTTTAGAACGATGTATCAAATTTCATCCCCCATTTATTCCCCAACACTTCAAAATCATAAATGCGATTTTAAAAAGTTACTCGCAGCACTAAAAATATTGTCCAGTGCCACAAATAACACCATCATCATCATCATAATGCCTACGCATTTCTCTGGATGCCTGCCTCATTCAGATGTGCGATAGCCCTATCGCCGTCAGCATCACCTGGTACTTGTTTTTCGTGTCGGGCTTTGCTGACCTTCCTCTGTTGCCTTTGTTTTTGTCAAACAGCCTGACCTGTGCGCTTGATACACAGCTATTTTCAAGCATTTTAGTTGGCAGTTGAGTATTGAAGATGAACTCCGGAAGCAGCACAAAGGGAATGCTCGGTTTATCAGCCAGGCTCGAGCTACATCACACTAGTGATGATATTTACAGATGATGAAGATGTACAGGTGATGATGATATCTAAAGAGAATGAAGGGTCATTCGCTTGTCGCGCTCACACTAATTCCCCCGCCCGGTGAAAGCGGCCGCCTGGTCGCTTGACAGTATTATGAAATGCGTCGCGCATCGGGCTTTAAACGAGATACGTGCACTATCTCTTTTCCTCTGCGACGATGATCAGGATTAGCGCTAAGAGGAGAAACGTGGTAATTGACAGGAGATGTCTGTTCGACCACCGTGTACGGCTCAATGAAGCGACTGATGAATTTGTCGCATAAGCCGGGGACGCGCAGTGGAGTCCATAGAAGAACTTCGTCACCAGGGAAAAAACTCACAACACGGCGAGACGAGTCGTAGCGAGATTTTCGAGTGTCATGAGAGAGGCCGGTGTTAACATGGGCCTGGTGACGGCAATAAGCGAGATGAGATAAAAATTCTTCAGAGAAAGGAGCCGTCAAGGGTGCAGGGGCCGAAAGGAAAGAGACATCCAGAGCGAAACTCGGCGAGCGATCATGAACGAGAAAAAATAGAGAAAAGCCGGTAGTGCGTCGAGCAGCCGTATTATAGGCGAATGTCACGAAGTGTAGAATTGCATCCCAGTTCGTGTGGTTGGGGTCAATGTACATGGCGATCATGTCCGATAGGGTCCGATGAAACCGTTCAGCCAATCCGTTGGTCTGGGGGTGGTAGCTAGAAGTGGTCTTGTGAACAGTGTTCGAGGCATGGAAAACTTGCCGAACATTGGAAGAGAGAAAGACTTTGCCGCAATCACTCAGGAGAATGCGTGGAGCTCCATGACGCAAAAAGATGTGGCAAAGAAAGAAATCGGCGATCTCAGTGGCAGTCTCAGATGGTATAGAAGCTGTTTCTGCGTAGCGGGTGAGGTGGTCGATGGCCGTGACAATCCAGCGATTCCCATTGGATGATATAAGAAGAGGGCCATACAAGTCGATTCCAACGACTTCAAAAGACGAGGCGACACAAGTAAGAGGTTGCATTAAGCCAGCCAGAGCAGTTGTCGGTCGTTTTCGCCGTTGGTAATGGACACATGAGTGACTCTACTTAGCGACGCCTGAAGAGAGGCCAGGCCAAAAACAACAACTTTGTACTTTGTCATAAGTCTTGTGATAGCCTAGATGAGCGGCGGTTGGACCATCATGAAAGGCTTCCAGAACTTCACGTTGCAGAGAACGTGGGATGACGGGTACCCACTTGTTGCCATCTATGTGGTAAATGTGGCGGTATAAAGCACCACCGACAAGCTTAAATTGTTTAAGTTGTCGACGGAGTCTGGCGCTTGGAGGAGTAGTAGAGCCGGTCAAGCGATCAACAATGGTGCGACAGTATGGGTCGACACGTGTTGTGAAACAAGGACGGATAGGGTGGCAGGTGATGAACTTGGCGCTGCGATTGGAGAGGTGCTGTCGTTTTGGAGTATCGAAGGTGAGTGGCTTCCACTGGGCAAAGGACAGTGCGGTAGAGCATCAGCATCTTGATGCTTCTTCCCAGATCTGTAGGCGGCATCGAAATCATACTCCTGCAAGCAAAGCGCCCAGCGACCGAGGCGACCCGGTGAGTTTTTCAGTGATGAAAGCCAGCATCGGGCGTTACGGTCGGTAACGACGGTAAAATGACAGCCATGAAGATATGGTCGGAATTTTGCACTGCCCAAACAACAGCAAGGACACTCCTGCTCGATGATAGTGTAGTTCTTTTCTGGAGCGGTAAGAGCACGACTTGCGGAAGCAACGACGCGTTCACGTGAGTTTTTGTCACGCTGCGAAAGTACCGCACCTAGACCATGACTACTTGCGGCGGTGTGAAGGATGGTGGGTGCGGTGGAATCGAAGTGGCACAGTACCGGATCCAACGTGAGGGCTTGCTTCAATGCCATGAAAGCGTTTTCGCAGTCTTCGGACTAAATGAAGGGGACGTTCCTTGCGAGGAGTTAATGGAGCGGAGACGCAAGTTCCGCGAAGCCACGTAAGAAGCGCCGGAAGTAAGAAGATAACCCAAGAAATCGTACTTGAATTGGTATAGCGCATTACGGGAAAGAAGAAACGGCCGAGCAGACCGACACAAGAGGACAGAGCGCTCTGTCCTCTTGTGTCGGTCTGCTCGGCCGTTTCTTCTTCTCCGTAATGCGCTATACCAGTTCAAGTACGACGAACCAACTCGCCGCCCAATCTTCAACACTCGGGGAACCCAAGAAAGCTGCGCATGTCCTTTTGACTTAGTGGACGAAGAAAATCGAAAACGGCGGCAAGCTTCTCGGGGTCCGGCCGAATTGCTTCTTTGCTAACGAGGTGGCCGAGAACCTTGATTGTCTTGCTAGCAAAGGTATATTTCTTGGTGTTAAGCTGTAGACCGGCTTTTGCAAGGCATGTGAAGACTTTGTCAAGATGTTGTAGATGCTGTGAGAACGTGGATGAAAACACTACTATGGCATTGAGATAGCACAGACACGTTTTCCATTTCAAACCACGCAACACGCTGTCTATCATGCGTTCGAAGGTGGCGGGCGCATTAGAGAGCACAAAAAACATCACATTAATCTCGTACAACCCATCTGGCGTTGAAAAGGCGGTGTTCTCTTTATCAGACTCCGACATTGGTATCTGCCAGTAGCCTGACCTAAGGTCGAGGCTAGAAAAATACTTTGCACCCTGTAATTAGTCCAGAGCATCGTCGATTCGAGGGAGAAGATAAACCTCGCGTGTTATTTTGTTTAGCGCACGGTAATTGACGCAGAAACGCACTGTCCCATCTTTCTTTTGAACAAGAACATCTGGGGATGACCAGGGACTCGAGAACGGACGTATGATGTTGCGTCGAAGCATGTCTGCGACGATTTCCTCGATGATTATGCGTTCTGCCTGAGACACGCGATATGGACGCCGATGTACAATACGAGAGCCGTCAGTCTTGATGCTGTGAGTACCGGTGGTAGTCATATCGAGGGTGGGCGAGTTCACGTCAAACAGAGAACGGTGTCTATTCAATAGGGCGAGCAAATCTTCAGTTTGATCAGGTGTTAAGTCAATGCTTATGA